GTTGTTGGGAAAGGGTGTTCGCTATGACCAGTGTGTTCTCTTGACAAAACTCTGTTAACCTTTGCCCTGCTTCATTTTGCTTTCCAAGGCCAAACTTGTCTGTTATTCTGGTTACCTTTTGACTTCCTACTTTAGCATTCCAGTCCCCTATGATGATGAGGACATCATTTTTGGGTGTTAGTTCTATGAAGTGTTGTAGGTCTTTATAGAACCGGTCCACTTCAGCCTCTTCTGCGTCAGTGGGTTGGGGCATAGACTTGGATTACTGTGATGTTGAATGGTTTGCCTTGGATTCGGACTGAGATCATTTTTGAGATTGTATCCCACTACTGAGTTTTGCACTCTATTGTTGGCTATAAAGGCCACACCATTTTTTCTACGAGATTCCTGGCCACGGTAGTAGATATAATGGTCTTCTGAGTTAAATTCGCCCATTCCTGTCCACTTTAGTTCACTGATTCCTAACCACACCATTTTTTCTACGAGATTCCTGGCCACAGTAGTAGATATAATGGTCTTCTGAGTTAAATTCGCCCATTCCTGTCCACTTTAGTTCACTGATTCCTAAGATATCGATGTTCAGTCTTGCCATCTCATTTTTGACCACGTCAAGCTTACCTTGATTCATAGATCTTACATTCCAGGTTCCTATGCAGTATTGTTTTTTGCAGCATCAGACTTTCCTTTCGCCATCAGACACATCCACAACTGAGCGTCCTTTCGGCTTTGGCCCAGCCGCTTCACTCTTTCTGGGGTTACTTGTACGTGCCCTCTGCTCTTCCCCAGTAGCATATTGGACACCGTCCGACCTGAGGGGCTCATCTTCCGGCGTCATATCTTTTGGCCTTTTGACATACTATCCATGGGGTTTTCTTGGCAAAGATACTGGAGTGGGTTGCCATTTCCTTCTCCAGTGGATCACGTTTTGTTTGAGTTCTCTGCTGTGACCTGTCCCCGGCATAGCCCACAGCCTCATCGAACCACGCAAGCCCCCTCGCCACGACAAGGCAGTGATCCATGAGGGAGAATTACTAATTTAGGAGAATTAAATGCCAAAGAAGCAGGTTTGAATAATTATTAAGTAAGGCAGGAGGGGGAGCCCTGACCTGGGTAGCCCCGGCTGGCCCAGTCTTGTCAGAGCTCGGAAGCTAAGCAGGGTCAGCCCTGGTCAGAACTCAGATGGGGGAGGCCACCCAGGATTTTAAGGAGTGGAAATGAGAGCTGCACAAATTTTTATGGAACCAAAAAAGGGCAAGGATTAATTTTCAAACACTAACAAAACCCACAAAAGAAGGTGGTTTGGGAGTCCCAATACTAGAAAACTATTTCTACGCAGCACAACTAAAAAACGTAGCTCATTATGCTAATTCTGAATGCTCTAAAACATGGGTGGCCATAGAGATGGACTCAATGTATCCGGATAATTGGTATGAAGCTGTATGGAATACAAAAAAGGTTAAAAGAATAACAGGCGATAAAAACCCATACTTACACCTTACTTTAAACATTTGGAATAAGTTCAGGGAAGCCCTTGCTCCTGGGGTTTCCCCGGTGACACCCTTCCTAGGACAAGAGTGGTTCCAGCCAGGAAATCATACTAAATCATTTTTACCTCTGAGAGAGAAAAAAAAAATAGGTTAAGAGACTTATTAGACAATGGAAAACTAATTTCATTACAAAAAATGGCACAAAAACATAAGATTCAATTGACTTGGTTTCAGTATTACCAAATACAAAATATGTTCATGGAAATATCGAAAACGTCTAAGTTAGATAGACCTTTAAACAGCTTCGAGAAATTTCTCTATTTGGGTAAACAATCATTGAAAGGCCTTACTTCAATAATATATAGAAGCATTTCTGAAGTCAACTGGGACAAAAAAACCTCGATACAAAAAGCGTGGGATAGAGATTGTGCAATAACAATACCCAAGCAAGATTGGATGTCTTTATGGAAATCATACCCATTTATTTAAAATAACTTGGAGATTAGGCTACAGTCTTTTAAAATATATGCGAGATGGTACTTAACCCCGAACAAATTATTTTTGAGTAAATTTAAAAATAACCCATCTTGCTGGAAAGGCTGTGGAGACATTGGAACTTACCTACACAGCTGGTGGGGATGCCCACACATCAAAGTATATTGGGAAAAAATAATTGGAGAAATTGCTAAACTTACCGGTTGTAATATACCAAACACTCCGCAATCCATTTTGCTGAATATGTGGCCTGATCTCTCATTTTCTAAACAAAAAAGGGAAATATTAACGTTACTACTTTACTGCAAAAACCTGTTTAGCTCAACGATGGAATACACAAAATATTCCTTCCATTGAATCTTGGATAGCAAAGGTTTGGGATGTACTCATAGCGGATAAAATAGCAACGCAAATACGAAGGGAGTACATACCAAACAAACAAAATGACTTTGTAGAAAAATGGTTTACTGTGTTAAAATATATAAATGAGGGACAAAATAAAGCATATGTTATCCCAGAGAAATACCTTAAGATTGCATTATACTGAAAGCAAAAAGGTGAACTTAAGGGTGTCAAAAGGATGTATACACTGAGATACCTGTGTCTTTCCTAGAGGATTGTTCTGTTTTAAAGTTTAGGTTAGAGATAGGGGTGGGGGGTAATTATTTTGTATTGTAAGTGAAGCAACGTTGTATTATATTGTTGTTTTTTGTATATTTCAAAATTGATAAATAAAATTTATATAAAAAAAAAAAAGAATCTGTTTGGAATCTCACTTTTGCCATGAACTCACGTGAGGACCTTGGGCAAGTCTTCATCCTCAGCATCAGCTCCCCCCCCCCATGTTTAATAATGGGATAGTGACCTATTTTACCGGGTCATTGTAAGAACTGCGGGAAGTTTCAAAACACTGTATAAACACTGAATATTTTCTGTGGCAGCTTTTCCACGGATTGGGTTGATGGAATTTCTTTTTCTCTCCTTGCTGGGACAGGCCAGTGATAGCAGTGAGGATGAAGAAGGCATAATTGGCCCAGTGCCTGCCAAGGGACCAGCTGAATCTAGCGTAGCTGCAGACTTTGAGTGCCGAGCTCAGAAAATGAAAGAGAAACTTCTTGGTCACGACAATGTAAGTGAAATAATTACTTTTGAAAGGCTAACTGGGTTTCACCAGGCCTTTGATTAAGCTCGACTTCGCTTTTCCTGAGAATGGTGGTTGAAGGGTAGGTGGATGCTTCTAACTTTGTTGCCTGTTTGCAGAATGAATCTAAGCAAGTCAAAAGAGAGTCTTGGATGACAGAACTTCCCCCAGAACTCAAAGGCTTTGGACTCGGTCCGCGGACGTTCAAAAGAAGAGCTGATGACGAATCGGGAGATAGATCTATTTGGACGGACACCCCAGCTGACAGAGAAAGGAAAGGCAAAGTGAGTTTTCATTCCAACACACCCATATGCCTATCATCAAGTAAAGCAAATTGTTCAGAATTTGAAAAAGGGAGACAGGCCAGCGATATCAAGAGAGACCTTGGAGTCGTGGTAGATAACTCACTGAAGATGTCAACTCATTGTGCGTCTGCAATAAAAAAGGCAAATGCTACACTGGGGATTATTAGGAAGGGGACTGAAAAGTAATCAGCCAGTATCATAATGCCCCTGTACAGATCTATGGTCTGGCCTCATTGGGAATACTGTTTACAGTTCTGGTCACCACACCTCAAAAAAGACATAGTAATGGAAAAGGTGCATAAAAGAGCAACTAAAATGTTTAAGGGGATGGAACACTTTTCCTACGAAGAAAGGTTAAACAGCTTATAGAAACAATGATTGAGGGGTGACATGATAAAGGTTTACAGAATTATGCATGGGATAAAGAGGGTCCTTTTCTCCCTTTTTCACAATACAAGAACTCGTGGGCACTCAATGAAATGAATGAGCAGTAGGCTTAGAACAGATAAAAGGAAGTCCTTCACCCAAAGAGTCATTAACCCAAAGAGTCATTAACCCATGGAATTCACTGCCACAGGAAGGGGTGGCTGCTACAAGCATGGACAGCTTCAAGAGGGAATGGGATAAAGATATGGAGCAGAGGTCCGTCAGTGGCTAGTAGCCACAAGATGCAGAGGGAACACTCTGTCTGGGGCAAGGGATGCTCTGTATTTTTGGTGCTGGGGGGGTACCAGTGGGAGGGCTTCTGGAGTTCTGGCCCCACTGCTGGAGGGCTTCTGGATGGCCCCTGGTATTTTTGGCCCCTGTGTGACACAGAGTGCTGGGCTGGATTGGCCACTGGCCTGATCCAACATGGCTTCTCTGATGTTCTTCCGAGGTAACACAGTTCAGTCCCCTCATGTCTCCAGGGGTAAAGCCTGGGCAAAAGCAGAAGGGGCAGGATCCAAAGGGCTGGCCCCCGTGACCTCGGGCAGGCTCGCCCCCTTCTGCCCAAGACTGTAGCCATTTCGGTTTGTCTGTTTTATTCAAATGGCTTTTTCCACTTAGTGTAAGACACTTTGGGACCCTTTTGGGGAGGGGGGGAAGTAGAGAATAAATATTAAATACGTTTGTTTGGGAGTTTCCCCACTGGCCTGGCCGCTCTGCTCTCTTACCCCGTCCTGGTGTGGGAGCTCTTCTTGCACAGCTCGCAGTCCATTCCTGGTCTTGCAAGGGCGTCCCTGGTCTGAGCTGAGGTAGCCGTGGGCGTGGCCCTTTGCTGTTGCGTGACAGGCAGGGGAAGCTTAGCTGGCAGCTCTTGGAGGTAGGAAAAACAGGTGGGGTTTCATCCTCAGCTCTGCCGATGTTTAGGATAAGCTCTGGCAAGAGGAGTCGTGCATCGTTTGCTGATGGGGCCATTTTGACAAAGGCCCGGGGGCACTGCGGTAGCTGCTGCGAGGCTGAGCATCTGGCTGTCGTGGGGCTGCTTTTATGGAAAGCGCTCTTTGTTCCTTTGGAAGCCCTCCAGTGCTGGCCTGTTGTCTTCACAGGAAGGTCTGTTGGGTCCACTCTTGCAGTGCACATCCTTGTTCAGCAGGGGTATACGTTTCATGTTCCAAGAAATAAAATTGACTTCTCAGCAGGTAACAACCCAAGTCCGTTCTTGTGGCTCAGTCCCTTTTGGCTTAAATGTACGTTCTTTTCCTGCTCCCATTTTTCACTCTTTTTCAGGAAGTGCAAGATGGGAAGAAACCAGCGAAGAAGGGTGACAGAGCGATGGTGGTGTCAGAACGAGACAAGAAAATGGCTGAACAGGTGTCTTCGTACAACGTGGGTATTGCTCTACATATCCCTTTCTTGACCCACCCCCGTTTTTCTTCCTGAGATTTTGGTGTTTGTGGCAATAGGTCTGGTACCCTAGACTATTAACACGGTTATGTGTGTTCCTGTGAAAAACATGCAGTTTCAACCACAAGCTTTACATTTCAGTAGGTGCCATGCAGTCGTAATAGTTAAAAGCCGTAGCAGTGTGGTGTAGAGGTTAAGAGTGGCAGACTCTGATCTGGCGCACTGGGTTTGATTCCCCCCCTCCGCCACCCCCTGAAGTCTGCTGGGTGACCCTGGGCCAATCACCATTCTCTCTGAACTCTCTGAGACCCACCTACCTTGCAAGGTGCCTGGTATGGGGAGAGGAAGGGAAGGAGAGTGTAAGCCACTTTGAGACTCCTTAGGGTAGAGAAGAGCAGGGTATAAAAACCAGCCACTCTTCTTCTTCAATCAGTTGTGACAAGAGGAGGGGCCATGGCTCAGTGGAAGAGCTGCTGCTTTGAATGCAGAAGGTCCCAAGTTCAATCCCCAGCATCGCTAGGTCAAAATGGACCAGGCAGGAGGGGATGTGAGAGACCTCTGCCTGCGACCCAGGAGAGCCACTGCTAGTCTGAATAGACAAGACTGACCTTGATGGAACCAGGGGGGTCAGATCCACGTGTGTCCCTGTGTACAGGTCTTTCATGACCACCCCTTCAGTGAGGTTGCTTGATCTGGAACAGGGGTCCCCAACACAGTGCCTCTGGGCACCATGACATCCCCCAACACCTTTTCTGGTGCCTGCTAAGTGTTTTTAGAAAGCGGGCAGGGCTGGGTGGGGCTTTTACCCAGAAGGGCTTCTGATGGGCTATTGGAGATTTCACTGGCTGTGCAGATATTTTAAAAGGTTGCTTTGGCAGCAGCGGCCGCCACAGCACAAGGTTCTTCACTGTGTGACTGAAGTTACACCGCTGCAATAATTTTTGTGGCTGGCTCCACCTCCTGTGGCAGGCATTTTGTAGCTGCGCCCATAACACTGTGTCAGAATTTCTGAGGGGCCTCGCAGGCTCAAAAAGCTTGGAAGCGCCCTGATCTGGAGGATGCAGGTGAGAGTGTGGTGCTGCTCCTTGGGGTGTGGGGTGCAGGCGAAGCAAAGACGACAGGAGACAAGCTTGCAGGAACTGTCTGAAGGAAGGAAGGAAGGAAGGAAGGAAGGAAGGAAGGAAGGAAGGAAGGAAGGAAGGAAGGAACTCCCTCCTCTCACGCAGCAGGTTTATTTATACACCTTTCTTCCCCCTTCTCCCCCCCTCTCCCTCCATAAGGGAGTTACAAGCATCCTTTTGGAATGTGTGTGTGTGTGTGTGTGTGTGTTCAAGTTCTCTCAGGCAAGTTCTTATCAGTTGCTTTGTGTGTGTGTTCACGTTCTCTCAGGCAAGCTCTCTGTTATCTTTGCCACCCCCACTCTCTCAAGGTTACCGACTGCGTAGTGAGCAGTAAACAGATTCCATCTCGGCCTCTCATGACGTACAAGCATTTCAGCTCCCAACCTCCAGCCAGGAGATTCCTGGACTGCCCTACATGTCATCCCTTTTTAATTGTTTTAATGTTTTAAGGTGAAATCCTTGATGCCAAGGTAGCTTCACATGATGAATTCAGCACATTAGGAGATGTGTCCTCCATGCAGGAAAAACCTTAACAGTCCTGGGTTTGCCACAGGAGTGCCGACCACATTGCTCCTACATTCCATCCGCCTTGTGCAATTAGCTAGGTTCCCAATTTTTCCAGGAGAACAGCCAGGAGAACAGAGGAGCAGTGAATCCCCCTCTGGGCCTCCACTGCCCCCACAGGTGAGAGGTTACCATGAAGTACTTCTGTTTTCCTAGCAGGGAAGTGCGGCTTGAGCCCAAACATAGATACCTTCTGTTGACTGCGTCGAATGGGTCTCCTTCGGACCTCTTGATGAAGGAGGTGTGTGGAGGCCACGGGGTGGCCTGCGCAGCCTTGTCTCTGAGGTTGTGGAACTATCCCCGGGGTCTCGGGAGCACACAGAGTTTGCCCGGGGGGGGACCATAAGGGCAGTGTGCGCTTGGGCTGTTCTAGACACCGGTGACTGACTTGCAACAGGACCGTGATTGGGCCTTTGGGACTGTACTCCTCAGACAACGTGAAGCAGAGCCCACTTCGAAACTTATTGCAGCTCTTGGGATTCCATGCTGCTTTCTCCCTCCCTGACATAAAAGGCAGGAATCGCACATCAGCGAACACTGATCTGGCACACAGTTTAATGTTCATGCTTAAAGTTTATAAATACATATAGGGTGACTGAGCCACCATCTGTAGTTCTGCACCATTTGGCCCTGGCCCATCGCGATGGTGGGGCTTTGGGGGGCTCTGCCCCCTTAATTATAAGGCCCCGCCCCCACAAGTTTTCATTAAGGGGGGACCCCCCATTTTTTTGCGTTTTAACATTTTTTCTTAAAGTTGGGTGCGCCTGCGCTATGGTGGGCCGAGCCCAGGCCATGACTAGCCAGCTGACAGCTCTCCCTCCTCCTGCCCTCGGCGGGAACATGGAGAGCTTGTTTAGGGTCCTAAGGAGGGGGGGGTCTCTTGGCCATCCCCCCCCCACCAGACGCCCTTCCACCCCCCCTTTGCACAATCTAATGCTCAGCAGAGGCAGCCGCCGCCCCAGCCAGTGCCACATCCCCCCCCGGGTTGAACGGAGTGTGCCCCCTTGCTGCTTCCAGAGGCGTCATTCAGCCTGCAGCTCCCGGGGAGCAGGGGCAAGGGTGTGCCTGCCTCCGGGCCTCTTTTATTTAGTTATTTCCTTGCCTCAGAGGAGGGAGAGAAAGAAGGGAGGAGCTGGAGCAGCTGTTGCTCCTTCCTTGAAGTTGGCACCGGGGGCCCTGCCGTTTACTTTCTGTCTCATTCTCTGGGCAGCCTCATCGCCAAACTTTCGCAGTCATGAGATTTCCCTGGGGAAGGGTGTTCATGCTGCAGAGTTGCCGTCCCCCCCCCACCCTTTTAAAACGTGAGTCTGGTCCAGGGGGCTTCAGATTACACAGGCGTGCTTAGTGGGAATTTCTTCTGTCGCACAAAGCTCTTACTCCTCTTCTCCACTTCTCACGCACAAGACAGCTATTGTGTCCCCCTCCCCTAGCTAAGATCTCATCAGCTAGGGACCTCCTAGGGGGTAGCATCGCTTTAAGGCTGCCAAATTTCCCTTCCTTTAGAGGAATGTCCCTCTTTCCAAAACATCAAAGCTTGCATAGGAGGTAATTAGACTAACTTTCATTTAATCAGCTTTGATTAGATTAACTGCCCCCTAAAAAATTTTGATGCCCCCAGAAGTAAAATATCCCGGCTACGGGCCTGATTTGGCCTGGGTATGCCCTCCCACTTCCTCCCAGGGCTCATCCCGTTCCTTCTCTTCCCAACTCCCTCCTGGCCTCATATCCCCCCCCCCCCCGGTGTGAGAGTTGTGATCCCCTTTGGGGTCTTGATGAACCGTTCAGGGAGATTGCTGAAAACAGAGTGCTTTTTAAAAAGTTTCTAGGGATCCATGTATCATATTTAATACAGTTCTTATTTCAAGTTACTGCCCTAGTAAAATTCCTGTTATTGATTTGATTTGATTGATTGGTTGATTGATTGTGGTGTTTATATCCTGCTTTTCTCCTAATGGGGGACCCGAGCAGCCAACAGCAGCAGTCTCCTCTCCTCCGCTTTATCCTCACAGCAACCGTGAGGTAGGTTAGTTTGAGAGAAGGTGACTGGCCAAAGGTCACCCAGCGAGCTTCCATGGCTGACTGGGGATTGGAACGTAGCAGAATTCCCACTATTCATAATAGATTACCCCAGAGTTTACCCTTAGCACCACGGCTGATAAGCTTGTCAGATGGTGAATCATTCCAGTCTACCTTCATTGGCCAACGTAGGAACTGAGAATCTTCCTTAGGAGATAAAAACATTTTAATCAAAAAGTTTTCAGATAGGCTAGCCCAAGAATTGTATTTAAAAATGGATTGTAACCCTGTACGGATGACACATGTAGGGACAGGTCAGTTTGCATAGAAGGGGAACAAAAGGGGGGTCTCGTCCCCCCATGACTCAGCACAATGGGCCTGTTCCCCACATACCTGCATTCACCCAGGTGTAGGCCAACTGCACCCACCTCAGGTGCATCCCACCAACATGCCAGTTTCTGTGCCTCCGCTTTGCACACGGGTTGATTTCTATGCCTTGTCACGTGGACAGAGCTCCTGTGAGCTCCCAAGTATAACAGTGGAGGGTGATTGAGCTGGGGGGGGGGGCTGCATCCAGGCACAGGAAGACTGCTGGGGAACCACAGGGAGGAACACGGCAAGCTGGGCAGTGCACTTCCTCCGGGGAAATGAGTTTTAAGCATCCCAGATGTTGTGAAGACTGGAGTTGGTCCACAGCTCTGTTTTGTGGGTCCAGAGGTCTGCCAATTGGTTCAAAGTGAGTTGTGAGCACTTCACCACTGACCAAACCCAGAATTCTTGGCTAGTCAGAGGAAGGCCCGTTTCCTCCGTCTGATTTGAAAGAAATGCCGTTCAGTGAGAAACAGGTGATAGGGCAGGTTTATTCAGTGGCATGAGGAGTGTCTGAGATCAGGGCAGGAATGGCAGGGTGGGGGACACGACGACGACTCCATTTTCATTTGCATTTTTCCATTTACTTCTGTATTTACAGTGTATGAGTTGATTTTCCCATTACGATTTACCTTTAATTCCATTCACGGTCCGTGTTTTGGGCGATGGCTTAGTTTTGTGAAATGTCCTCCCCCTCTCTGCGCACCCAGTCCTTTCAACCTTTCCCTTTGAATTTGCTGTCGTCTTCCTTTCCCAGGACTCCGAGAGGTCTGAATCTCTTATGGAGATACACCACAAAAAACTGAAGAGGAAAGCCGCAGAAGACAAGAACAAGCCCCAGGAGAGGAGGCCGTTTGACCGGGACCAGGACCTCCAAGTCCATCGATTTGATGAAGCGCAGAAGAGAGCCCTCATAAAACAGTCCAGAGACTTGAACACCAGATTTTCCCACAGCAAATGCAACATGTTTCTGTAATGTGTGTGAAGATGCTGAAGTACAGTTGTGTGCCATTCTACATTATGTAGTGCTGTATAATAAAACAACATAATCTTTGTAAATACTACATATGTGTGACAAATGAGTTTTCTTTGTGCCACTGGCCCACAGCCCATGCAGCGCTCCCTTGGATAAGCTGTTCATTCCCAGTACATCGCTGTGGCATGTGACTCCTGAAATCAATGGATTTAGACTGGAATTAATTCAGCATAGGATTGCTTCCCTGCTCCAAGATCTATGCGTCACAGAGCTGTTATGGGATGAAACCAAAGGAAAGGAGCATAGAAGTGCGCTGTCTCAGTGATGGTGGGAGGTGTGTCCAGTCACAGCTGACTTACCGTGAGTCCCCCTCACGGGGTTCCCAAGGCGGTCTCCCTTCCAAGTGCTCGCCAGGGCCAGCCTGGGCCACCCAGGTCAGGGCACCACCAGTCTTGGCTTAAAAAAACGCGCGTTCCATCAAAAGATCGCCACAAGGTAAAGGTCCCACTGTCAGCAATGAAGTGTCACAGACTCCTGCACAGATGCTGAGGAAAGACATTTCTGCAACTCAGATGCTTCCTTTGGTTCTTGAAGTGTTTGCATTTCCCATGACAAATGACGTGTTTGTTTCTCCGGTGCAGTTTTGTTCTGATAACGAGGGTGTCTTGTGGAAGCAGCAGGCAGCTGAGGATCCAGTCTCAAGGGGGAGCTCAGGGAAGGGTTTGTGGGCATTGGATGCTACTTTAAACAAATAAATCCCCGAAATTATCACCAAGGGAGTAATTGGAGCCCATCCCACTTAAGGCAACAGAGCAGTGAGTGAGCTGAGAAAATGAAATCCGGGGAAGAGGAAAATGGCTCTTCAGGAGGTGGCCGAGATGAAGCCAGAGCGGAACACGGAGGCGGAGTGGAGCCAGGCAGCAGGGAGCCCCTCGGGAAAGTGTCCCGTGAGAATCGGAATGGGGCTGTGGCAAGGGGGATTCAGCTCACCACTTTCCTTCGCAGGTTTGTAACCAGGCTGTACTCGAATCCAAACCCGGTTCGCTTCCTTCCCGACCCATGTAAAGGAATAGTTCAGGAACTGACCTGGGCCTCTGTTTGCTGCTCAGCGTTCTCCCCCAGCGTGCCCATAAGTTTTACCACCTGCTTCTCTTTCTGTCAAGCCAACGTTGATTTTTTTGAAGAAAGTATAGTTTTATGTATGCAAGGCTTGTCCCTTTCTCTTGACAGAGTGAGGCAGTTGCCCACGGAAGCACATATTTGTGTCCCCTTAGAGGGGGGCCAGTGATTCCTGTTTGAACATTGCAGGAGGCACCGTCTGATTTTCCTTTGGGCATCAAAATGTCTTGGCCCGGCCCTGCCTTCATGGACACTGCTTCTAACCAGCTGTTCCTTCTCCGTTGCCAAGGTAACGTGGTCAAGGTTAAACTAAATCCAGATTCAGTGACTTTTGAAAACAAAGCCATTAGCTACAGGGTTAGAGATCCTAGGGCAAATGACACACAGAATGGGCTGATTACTTTCTGCAGCTTTTACTTTCTACTGCACTAGGAAGCTTGTCAGCAGAATCCAATCTGTGTGAGCATGTTCCTCAGTCAGATGTCCAAACAAGACTGGCAGCAGTGGCAAACCAAGTTCCAGCAAGGAGGTCTTTCCCAGCCCTGCTTCTTGAAACCCTTCGATCACAGAGACTGGCCATGGGGCAAGCCATGGAATGATGTATGAGTCATGACAGGTGATGATGTGGTCACCGCTTAGAAGATGACCATGACAGGGTTGGCCACTCTCTGGGGGTCTCCAGGCACTAGTGTCCTTTCAGTGGCTTGGGTTTGCGTCCCATCACTGCCACCAACCCACTTAGGTGTGACAGCTCCCTACCTGCCCCATCATACAGTGCAGTTGTTTGGGGCTCTGGCCAGGAGGTCCAAGTTCCCAGAAATCCAAAGGAAACGAACTGCAAGATCCAGGTTTGCTCACAAGGAGATTCTAATCAGGAATGATCAAATAGCAGGCTGAGCTCCCATCTGCTGGGTCTCAAACGCACACATGCACAGCAGAACTTAGCCAGACATCCGGACAAGATGCATAGCTAAAACTAAGCATCTTATACCTGAAATGCTGTCATTAATCAAACTATTCCAAACACTGAGATGAGCCAGTGCATCTCACACCTGGCATCTCGTGGGGAGAGGAAACAAAGCAGGCTTTGAAGACAACAGCTGCTAGCAAGCACGAGAGAGAAGAATATTCTCTTGGGGCGACTGGATGGCCGTCCCTTCACAGGACTCAAGGCAACTAAAAGTCAAGCACCCGCTAGTCACAAAGATGGAGTTACGAAGGCTATACAGCAGTGCCCCCCTTGCTGTCTTGATCCCCTGTAATGAGTGGCTAACATGCCAATGGAAAGCTGATGTTTTCTATCATGAGAAATCTTCAGTTGTCCTTAGCCAGGTGGCAAATCTAAGTATGGTACACAGTATGTTTCGAGTGCTGCTGTTAGCCTTTGCCTTTCTTCGGGGAAAAGGGAGGTTCAGAGGGAAAAGGAGCAAGGAAAGGGGTCTGCTCTGAGATTGGGTGTCTTGACTAAACCGCTGGAATTGGATCAGGGAAATCCAGGCTCACAACCTTGGAATATTGCAATGCACTCCCCTTGAAGAGTGTTTGGAGGCTGCGGTGAGTGCGGAGTGCTGCTGTAGCCAGGCTGCTGGTTGGGGCCAGCCAGTGGGAGCAGGTGACCCGGATATTACAGCAACGACACTGGCTCCTGATCTGCTCCTGAGCCCAATTCAAGGTGTGGGTTTTGTCCTCTAAAGCCTTTCATGGTTTGGGACGGGTATATGAAGGACTGTGCTCCCACCCAGCAACTAAGGTCACAGGGAGGAGCTCTCTTGATGGTCCCAGCAGCCAAAGAAGCTCATCTGCTGGGCACAGGAAAGAGGGCCTCTTCAGAGACAGCCCCATGATTATGGAACTGCCTCCTGTAGGACACAGGGTCAATGAATCTGATTTTCCTTTGTTATTCCTCTCTGTTATGTCCCTGGCATGCATATATGCTTGCATGGAAGTAGCTGTGTGGTGGACATATGTTAATCCTCTAATTAAGGAACCTAGTTTGATAAGAGTAATGGGATAAAGATAGGTAGGATTATAGAAAGTAATGCTGTCTGTACCAAAAACCTTAAAGTTTGCTCAAGAAAGCAGGAGATTGGAATGTGCCTGCAAACAAAACTATTCTGGCTAGCTGCTCTGAAGGGCGCTTATAGCCCAGTGCTATGTATAAGAAAAACGTCTCAGAGGTCTGGATGTTCCCAAACAGCATCCTTCTTTGTATTACCAGGCATTACCAGGTTGTCTGGTGAGAGCCAAGAGCCGTCTTAGGTATCACACCTCATCAGGAAACTCCCTATTCTATGTAGATGCAGAAGGTCCCTGAAAGATGCCAGAAGGAGACCTCAATGTACCTTAATGTTCTTGGGTCAAATAAACGCAAATGTCTGTAACTCTAGCCAGTACTGGGAGTACACCAACTGAATGGTGCCAGCTCAAATGATGCTACCTGTTGGAAACCAATTGTGCTTTTCCTGGGTTGTAAACTATTACGATGTCATCTTGGGTATAAGACCCGCTGCCCTTCCTGTTTGGGGCAGAAAACAGCTTGGTGTCACTGGGTGCTAAGGCACCAAGTCCTGTATTTTCCTGTTATTGCAATAAACAGTTAGAAATCCAACTCACTGGACTCCACCTGTGTGCTCCTTATCTGGCCCAGAGGGCACACGGGACACAGACTTCGGCATCACTCCCCGGGGAGGCACACCTGACCACCCCACTTTTGATCTTCAGGAGGCCGCTGAAGACAGACTAATTTAGTTTCCGTCTATTGGCAGTTCTAATCGGACATTTTTAAATTGTGGTCTTTTATGGTTTATTTTTTAATTGTTTGACTTATATTGTAAGCCCTCTTGAGCCCTTCCAAGTAGAAAGGTGGCCAATAAGTGTTTTAATTAAATAAATAAAGCCGAGCCCAGCCCTCCCCCGGCGCTCTCTCTCTTGGAGAATGAAATGGGGAGGGGGGGAGGGATGCCACCCCAAGAGCAGAGAGGAGGGAGGGTGGGTTTAAAATGTCATGAAGTACTTTATTTATCTACTTTACTAAATCTATGAATCGCCCCATCCCTGCTATCGCAGGGCTCTGGGTGATGTACAATAGCATTAAAACAATGACCATATGAAACAATAAATCAGATTACATTTTTAAAAGATGGATGGCGAATGCTAGTACTTACTAATTAGTTGTTCTCAGATTACAGACTGCCGGCTGCTTCGCAGGCAGGGCGGAAGAGGTCGGAACGACCACGGGAAAATGAGGAGGGTGCCAGCCGAGATGACAACCATCCCTGCCCTCAACCAAAAGCCTGCCTTGCAGGCCCTGTGGAATTGCAAAAGGTCCTGCAGGGCCCGGGCAGTATTTGGCAGAGAGTCCCACCAGGTTGGGGCCAGGACTGAAAGGGCCTCGGCTCTGGTCGAGGACAGCTAGGGATCCTCAGGGTTGGGGACCACCAGCATGTCGATGGCCAAGGAGCGCAACACCTTTTCGGGGGCATAACGGAGGAGATGGTCTTTAGCCTTGCCCTGACCTGAATGGCCTATCCCAGTTTCATCAGATCTCAGAAGCTAAGCAGGGTCAGCCCTGGCAAGTGCCTTGATGAGAGACTGTCAAAATCCTGGTTAAATCAGTTCTCAACACCAGTCAGCTTGAAGAAAGCTAACTTTATTGAGACATTGATAGATACCATACTGGACACAAGCTATTGTTAGGACTGAAGTTGAACGCGCGAAGGTTACAGATAGAGTGTGTTCAAGTAAAGGCACTAAAGATCAGGACCCAATCAGCCCACGGCATTTGCCTGCCAGAAACAACGGTCAGCTACCCCACCCCAGTACTTCTCCCAGAGCATCCCTCCCACCAAAACTGATGCCTACCCCCCCCCAAACACGTACCCTCTACATAGCAAGAAAAACAGAATAACAGACATTTGAGAAGCCAGGGCACTTGGCCCCA